TCAAGTCCAACCATCCACCCAATCCCACCATTCCTACTAAACCATGTCCTGAAGTGCCACATCCACACGTCTTTTGAATCCCTCCAGGGATGGGGACTCCACCACCTCCCTGGGCAGCCTGGGCCAACGCCCGACCACTCTTTCACTAACAAAATTATTCCTAATAACCAATCTAAAGCTCCCCTGATGCAACTTGAGGCCACTGCCTCTTGTCCTATCAATAGTTACCTGGGAGAAGAGACCAACCCCCCCTCACTACACCCTCCTTTCACGTAGTTGTAGAGAATGATAAGGTCCCCCCCTCAGCCTCCTATTCTCCAGACTGAACAGCCCCAGCTCCCTCAGCCGCTCTGGGACAGCAGAAGTGGTCTCAAACCTGCATTTCCCAATGAGTGAGCTGGGCCAAAGCAGTGTCATTCTGGAAGAGGCACAGAGATGAAGCGCACTCGGTGAGGGTCACCGTGCTGAAGGTGAAGGTAGAGAAGCTTACAGGCATTCTGCACGGGAAATCATCACCCCTCAACCTTCGTCCAAATAAAGCATCACCGACCCACACACAATATCCAGGTTTATGTCTCCAATATAGGCTTGGTAACAACATTCACTCCTGGCTCCAAGCCCCTCCTTAGCACTCATTGTATTTACTTATCATCCGTTCTGGGGGGGAACTGGGTGCAAGTTTCCCCAAGCCCCCCTTGCTTCAGCTCCCCGGTGTCTCTGCCCATGAGTATGGAGCTCCTCCAGAAGCCATCGAGGACGGCCAGACCGCCAGCCCAGCAGCGCAGCCTGCCCGGCACCCAGCCCTTGCTCCCAGAGACTCCAGCTCTGAGAAACCAGAGGCCACTTCTCTGTCACACCGAGCGGACCGCTTCTGTGCTGCTGTCAAACCACGGGCAGCTGCAGGACGCGGTCAGGGCACGCTTACATCACCACCCGGCCCTCCTTTTCAAACCTACCCATGGGATTTAAGCAGGAAAAACAGCACCAATGGGGCTACCAAAGCCCAAAACACACGGTCCCAAGGAGCCGACAGCACTGGGGGGTGCCCAAACCACAGGCACCTGCAGGACATGGTCACAGCACACTTCCACCACCACCCAGCCCTCCTTTTCAAAGCTACCCATGGGATTTAAGCAGGAAAACCAACACACACAGGGCTACCAAAGCCCAAAACACACGGCCCCAAGGAGCCGACAGCACTCGTGGGTGAGGAGGGGGTATGCTCTACCATCATTCATCCCAGACGCCCCAGCGTTGGGGGCACAGGGGATGTTCTGCATTCCTGATGTACATTCTCGCTGCTGCCGTTGCTGCCTCTCCCCTCCGCTGGCTGACAGAGCACTGCTGTCAAATTTTTGCCTCGCGCTGTTTTTCACTGCCTGCATTTCCTATTCCTTCCTTGTTATCAAAACAACAAAACAAAAAACCCGTCAAACATAACACAGAATTGGGGTTTTTTTGGTCTGTAACAAGGCTGGGATCTGGCTTGTGGGGTCCCAGCAGTGCAGCCTGCCAGGGGACAGGGAAGGAGAGGGCAGAGGCGTGAGAAATTACCAATGCTACAGGAAGACCCACTTGGGAGGAGAAAGGCTCCTGGTTTGTTCAAAACAAATTGGCCGAGAAAACCCTGGATGGAAAAGAAAGAGTCAGTTGCTACCTGTTTATCTCAACAAACCCTTTCCCCAAAGAATCTCCCAGCAATTCATTATGCTGGATTTGTAGGCAAAGTTCCCACTCTTCAGAGACATCAGCTCAACACATGGAGGGGGTTTGACACGTGCCACGGAGGTGCAGAGCTCCCTGCTCATCCATCCTGGCACGCGACTGCTCAGCGTGTGTCAGCACGGTCCCAGGGAGGGAACACGTCTCGTGTGAAGGGGATAACGAGGTGATGCAGGAACAGTGATGCTCAACATAAATGACAAGGCATGGATGAAAACTCATGACATGAAGGATGAAAACTCTAGAGAAGAGCTAAGTCTGGGGGGAAGCCTTTGGCACAAGTCTCAGAAAATCCCTGTATATCCTTTGGATTTAACTTTTTCCTTTTGGTGGGAATCCTAAACAAAGCTGAGGAACTGGATACTGCCCTTCGAAAGGGGGACAAACCAATCCTTGCAGAAGAAACTCTTAACCTAAGAAACATGAGGAAGTGTCTGAATTTGGCTCCATATCTGCTACCTCCCTCCATGCGATTCTGGAGATACATTCCAACGCCGCAGAAAACACCTTGGTGCAAAGGCTCAACTCAGCTTCGAGCTACCAAAGGCCCCAGGGGTGAGGAGAGCCTATTCTCCGCCTGTCTCTAACCACACAGGTCTAGAAGAGGAGTAACCACGAGAGGTTTATGGCTTCGCAGCGTCAGAGACAACGCATGGGTTGGCGTGAGTTGGGCAGGTCCAACCACACAGCAACAGTTGGACTGTGGTGGTTGTACGATTGCTCTGGTCAAAGTAGCAGCAGTGACTAAAGAGTAAGGAGTCAAAAAATCAGAATCACAGGATGGTAGGGTTTCGAAGGGACCTCTGTGGGTCACCCAGTCCAAACCCCCTGCCGAAGCAGGGTCACCCAGAGCAGGCTGCACAGGACTGCATCCAGACAGGTCTTGAATCTCTCCAGAGAACGAGACTCCACAGCCTCCCTGGGCAGCCTGGGCCAGTGGTCTGTCGCCCTCAGAGTGAAGAAGTTCTTCCTCATCTTCAGCTGGAACTTTCTCTGCTGCAGTTTGTGCCCACTGCCCCTTGTCCTGTCGCTGGGCACCACTGAAAAGAGTCTGGCCCCATCCTCCTGACACCCACCCTGCAGATATTTGTAAGCATTTATAAGGTCCCCCTCTCAGCCTTCTCTTGTCCAGGCTGAACAAGCCCAGCTCCCTCAGCCTTTCCTCATAGGAGAGATGCTCCAGTCCCCTCCTCATCCTCGTAGCCCTCCACTGGACTCTCTCCAGTA